CAACAATTGCAAACAAAGTAAGTCGGATATGCTACTAATTCTTTCATACTAATCGATAAGCAGTAAAGGCGGATTCATTCTAGCTTAAAGAATCACATACAGATACAAATTAGAATAAACTGATCACTGAACAAATGCAAACGATTTCAGATTTTCAGAAAAGTGGATTAATAGAGAAAGGCTTTTCTAAAATTGATTCTAGCTGTACAACACTTGGGCAAAATTATAATATAATTCGGCACTTCGAATAGCTAAAAGAGTCATCGAAAGAAACAAATTATGGTAAACTACAATTGGAATAGAAAATAACGTTATCTTTGAATTTGTGAGATTTCGTGGTTTATGGAAAAAGCGCCTGTTATACACGCAACTTATACTGCGAGAAACTTTTGTGAGCAAGACTCAAGGGTTGAACTAAATGAATTCAAAGCAGGTATTTCAATTAATGTGTTGGTCTCCACTGTTGGTGTATGCGCTAAGACATATTTGAATTTCAACCAGCAAGTCTTCATAATCTCGTTCATGTTATTTTCATATGTAAACATCACATGATCATCCTGTCCACATATGGTTGGTTATAGCAAATATGTTAATAACTACAGGTTCCGAAAATGATAAACTATATATTTGTCAAGTTCTGAATATGCGCTCTTTGTCAAGCTGCATGAAACAATTATCCATATGATGAGATCAAATTTCAAATAATCATGAACTATGTATGCTGAAGAACGAAGGAAAAAATTGTGTTGAGCGGAACAACGGTTCTCATCAACAGTCATAGAACACACTATGAGCTGCTACTTATTCGAAAAAGCTTACCGCAACTACCATCCGATGGGGAATCTTCAAAGGCTAACATGCTCAAAGGTAGCACTTAAATTAATTCTCGCATTACTTTCACTTTCCATTGTGACTAGAACTCCGCGATAACTGTTGCCTAACAAAAAAATCTCTTAATTTTTCGTGGCAAATCATAACCTCAATCCGCTTGGGTAGTTGAACAGAATAAAACATTTTTTGTTCCTAGTTATTCTGCTGACTATATGCAAACTTGTATTTGAAAAAGGCGCCCCTGCCTTGAGCAATAAAGAAAAACATATGAAGGTCGGTAACACTGCACTACTGAGCAACGCAGCGGGTGGCAGCAGAATGAAGAAACTCTTTGAGGGATCCAAGAAGTCCTGGCACTCAAGGTTGGCTAGCTTTCAATCCATGCAAAATTGTAAAGTGCAGCGAGCTACATTTGATCAATAGTTCAACCGCAAAAAATGTCGCAAGCAATTAATCAACTAGCGAAAAGAATCCAGCGCTGCCTACACAGTGTTTTAGTGCATCGACTCTGATAACATCTACGACTGCAAAGAAGATGTGTGGCGTTAATTACCTTTCTGAGGACGAAATGATCGATAATGATGAAAAATGCCACAGAGACAATACCGGAAAGGAGAGGAGACACAATCCAAGATGCAACTGAAACTGCTCAATTATTTCAAAATTCTCTGAGTTCGCTCAGGTCAACTTACAGATGCGCGAGATCTTATACCACCGGATGCCCACTGAACCTTTCAGGACGAGGGAGAAACCGATGGTTGCGCCAACGATGGAATGAGTCGTAGAGACCGGTAGTTTGAAAAATGTAGCAAGCAACATCCATGCACCGCAACCTGAATTAATAGCAAATGATTCAACAACTA